TAAATACATGTGCTAATGCCAAGCCATTTAATCAACAAAGTACAGTTTAGTCCATTCGGAACAATCAGCTCAAACATGCACTTCTAATAACATAACCACACACAATCAAACGGCCATTCTGCTCTCCAAAGCCCTAAAAGAGCTGATGGTATTTTTACAGCCGGGCTCAAGTCCCAGCAGAGCCAATCATGGTGGCATCTGGAGAGGCTGCTATTGTTGTGTTAGTGGCCGTAAAGAGGTTTCACAGGGCCCAATAGACCCACTGTGCGATCTCAGGTCCCAAGCACAGAGGCCCCACAACTGGGAAACAGTTGTATTGTTATTCGTAGAGGCAGACACTCAGGTCTCCCTTTTGAGCGCCGTGGGTGGGGGGATTTCGCCATTACAGGTAGTTGTGAATTGTTGCTACTTGTTAAGATGAGGGCCTATAACACAATGACCTGTGGCAAGTTACAATGACTTCAAATAAGAGTTTTAAGGTAAACTCCCTTTCGCACAATGGAAGGGCTCGGGGCCCGTCAGGTCACAGACACTGAGGGCCACCTTGCGTATTGAGCAGCGTATTGGCGATTTGTTTTCTTCTTGGGTTTTGCTCAAGTCGTAAATGAACAGAGTAATGACGTATCCATGCCACATTTGCCAGTGAAAGGGCAGTGAACTGGAGGAGGGTCGAGGTGATGTTTTTGTGACCCTGCAAAGCAGTGTTGTGAAATCACATAGAGGGAAGCTACATGGGACCCTCAGACTGGGGCCAGTCTGAGGGTCTGGACAGGGCCCACAGTCTAAATGAACTGTTGTTTCAACATCTTTTCCCACTGCCACCTGCTCTTTTCTTGTGTGTCGTGAAGCAGGTTTCAATACATTAGTAGTGTCCCCTAGTGGCGTTTTCTGTTAAGTGCAATCCAGTACACCTCAACTTAATAATGTACTCTAAACTTACAATTACTTTTTAGATCATTTAAAACAAATCATTGTATGTGAGAAAGTGAAGCAACAAACATAGATGTTTACAGACACCCTTACAAGCAATCCACAAATCAAGGGCAACTTTTATTCCTTTTTTTTTAAACTAACCCATAGCCTTATATAACTAAGCCATGGCATTCTATTTCATTTTATTCCTCTTGCACTGTTGTCTGCTGTTATGCACCAACGGCCAAGTCAAGTTCCTTGTATGTCTGACATATTATGGCAAAAAATGTCTCCTGATTCCTGATTCCGGAAATTGCACAATGATTATTAATTAAAAAGTAGGTTAAATCACCACTGGAGAGCTCACAACTCAAGGGGTCCTGTTTCCCGGCCAACAACAATACTACGTCTGAGTGTTGTTGTTGATGTTTCTATAGACGGGTTTCTCAGGTATGAAATAAAATAGAAGGATAAGTTGGATACTCTTTTTTGTCAAGAGCCAACGGTGTACTGGTGTGTCTTTCATCACATTGCATTTTCATACCATTTCTGTAACTGTCAACTAGGTTGGTTCTGGACTATTACCAGCAGCCGATTACTCCACATTTGGTGCACTAGTGATTATTAGCGGCAGCACAACATTGAGGGTGGGATTATATTATATTATATTTCTAAAGGTGCTTTTTCTCCCTGAGGAAGGTTTGTCATACAAGCTCTACCTGTTAGTAGATATAGTCACTTTTGCTTTGGATCTACACATGATATGGGGACTTATCAGTAGACATCCAGGATTTGTCTTGTGTAATGCAGAAAAACATCTGGTAAAACATTAATGAATGTACACAGCAAATGCCATTCAGTAACATGCATCCTCTCATTAGCCATTTCAGCATAAACAACTCAATTTGGTGATGTTCTATGAAAAATCAAAATGCCTACTAAAATATGTATTTTAATGCAAATCACTTTAGTTAGGATACTATTAAATGGTTCATCATTAACTTTTGACCTGTGGGCCAATGCCCTTACATTTCCACTTAACACCACACGCACACTGCTTATCCACATCAAAGCCAACAAGTGGAAGAAACGCCCTAACACATACATATTGAGGGTTGAAAGGCCACAATCAACATTTGACTGCCTTTAATGATGTGGAGGAATAAACATGTGAGTAGCGGAGCGATCGGCAGAAACCAGCATCAGCTCTGGGAGCGGCCTTGGATGCTTATTGGCTGTCCCGCGTTAGCATACTGACATCTGTGGCCGTGTCTGTGGCCCCCGGGGCAAGGTAGTGGTGATTTACATTTAAAACAGGCCTAGGACCCCCAACTACCAACACCAGCCGCCCCATCTCTGGTGGAGTGATACTGGGACAACAGCCGGTCCCACCTCACACCTGACCTGTGGCAGTATGGTAGACCTTTATTAGTTGTGATTTAGTTTAAGTTCTGAGTTACGCACTGCATCCTGTTTTGCACATGGCCCAAATGAAAATATTTATTTCATACATTCTCTCATACAATCGTACAATGGTTGAAAGACACAAAACAGGTCAGTATGGTGGAAATGCAACAAGCTGTTATATCCATGTATCCATAATCAATATCCATATCACTATTACTGTAAGTCAGCAAAGTCCCCTACAACTTATGCAGCTACCGAAATGGTAAATGGATTTTTGCTTCCTTATTAAATCGCCAGTCATTGACCCAACAAACAAAACAACAACTGGCTTTTACCACAACATTGCCATTGCCAATTCCATATTACAAGCCTCAATGCTATGTTTCTACTGTTTAACTGATTTATTATTAAATAATTTCTGCTTTCAAATATTTCTATACTGTAAAATATTGTAGGTTAAACTGCATGTAGTACAGTACAGTACCGTACCAGTAGACAAAAATGTACTGTGTGTCAAACATTCATCTCTTAAGGCACAGATCAACAAAGATCGGACAAAACTATTTCTCCCTTATATTGTTTACTGTGTTCATTTACTTTGTTGGTATATTCTGTATGCATAATATTTATTGCATGTCCGACCTTGTTCCTGAGCTTTCTCTGAATTTTATGTGGGGAGTTCGATCTCATCTGAAACAGTTGTGTGCTGGCCAATTTGTGATATGTAATAATAGGATATTTAAATAAGATGTATTTGACTGCTGACACATTGTCTTCAGCTGTTAGGCAAAATAATTACTACGCAATAAGCAATAATACTGCTGCATTTATACTGTTCATCAGATGATGATATACTGTTTTTCCTTGTTTTTAGGTAGATGACTTTATTAGAAATAGGCACTCCTATTACTGAGGGCCGTTCAACCTCCTTGTAAGTGCTTTGAAGTGGACGTTCAGACAGTCAAAGGTTCCCATTTTGGCTTGCTGTAAGAAAAAACTATTTGGAGAAAAGTTTGAAAAGCGTATTTTCCAATCATTTTAATCATCTTGTGACCTTTAAGGTTTATAGTACAACCGTCCCTACAGTATGTACGAGCAGAGAAGGAAGTGCTAAATAAAAGCAGCAGCATTTCAATGACTCCTGTGTCTGTCTGTGTGGCAGTGCTGTGCTACAGCATAAAGAATGGGCCGGCCGAGTCGTAATGCTCTCTGTGATAAAACACTTACGGCCTGTAGCAGAGAAGTGCCACATTCATCGGCTACCTGCCAGAGCATTTACACGGCCACCACCAACAGCCCGAGAGGGAGGAGCGAGGGAGGAAAAAGTCAGAGAAAAATTCACATGTGACAGGGAAACACAAAAACTGTTTTTGTAGTTTGAAGGGGGAATGATGATAGTTTTTAAGGTGGAAGTCCAGCACACATTTTCAGAGGTTAAATGAACATAACTTTATTGGCCTCCATCCTCTGAGCCTCATTTTCTCTGCATTCTGACTTCCCATGTGCATCTGCTTGTGTTTTTTCTAAAGGTGAACCCATCCTGTTAATGTTAATGTCGTCATTTGCCCAGTTTAAAAATAAAACCCTTTTGGACTGCCTCACAGGCTGAATATCACAGGCTCATGAGCAGGTACCACTCGCCATGCTGCAGCTTTTGTTACACACTCAGCTGTAATATTTGTATACCTTCGTCCTCCGCCCTCTGTTCTGTTCTTCCTCTGTGGTTTAAATTAGAGCAGCTGTGAATGGCTGTAGTGGAACTGGTTCAGCTGGATTAACCATCTGGTTTCATTACCCAGTAATGTTGTCGCCCCTCTATCTGTCACCGGCCTTGTTCCATGATAACAGACATTTGTCAATTTCCTGTGCCTTCCTGCTGCGATGCCATCAGCCCCGCTGACAGCCACTTGGCAAGGTACACTAAGACACGCGCACACACAAACTAACACACACACACACACACACACACACACACACACACACACACACACACATACACAGGGAAAGACTTGTATGAGCGGAGGGGAGCACACTACATTAAAGATCACAAGAATGCTTATTAGTGACAGAGGCGCTGCCATTAATTACAATGCTGGGATGTGTGGGTTGGTGTGTGTGAGTGAGAGAGCAGGGCACGGGGGAGTGCAGGGGGTAACATAGTAGTATAGATTGAAGGAGCATACTAATCTGTATTACACAGAATCAGATCAAGTCGCGATAAACCTCAAAATCATTCTGCGTTCACACGCAACAAGGTGGCACGATCCCACAAGTCACCACTGTCTATGCAACACTATTCACACTGTACAAGTGTATCGTTGTTACACTGGGATTGGTTGGGTAGTTCTCTTTCTGACCACTCAGGGTCAGGAGTGGATTGGCTTTGGTTTGGGCAACAATGACTAACGTGGTTTGTGAGCGTGTCTGTGTGTGTGTGCGTGTAGGTGTCTGTATTTAAAATTCTATCTAGAAGGACGGGAGGACAAGTGTGTCTTGAAAGCACACTTCTTCGAAGAGCTCTTTAAACAAATTGCCATTGTAAGTGTTGTTGAGGTCAACTTAAGTTATTGTCCTCATAAAGATAGATGTATAGGGTTGTGTGTGTAATTGTCTTAAATAAAGCCTCAGGTTGGCTTTTTTTGATACGCTGTATAAAACACTAAAAACACTCGACTCCAAAGTCAACCGTACCAAACATATTATTCATATCCGACTTTATAACAGACAATGAAGAGAAGAAAAGCAGGTACTACAAAATATGCAGGACACCTTTTTTTTACATCAAACAGAGGTGGGTACAAATAAAAGTCCGGGAAAAGAGAGTCATAAAACAATGTAACAGGGAGAAAAGACTGTAGCGTTAAACACAGAGGTGCTAAGACGAGGACACAAACGAAGGGGAGAAAACAGGTCAAGGGAGGAGGGGGGTGATTGGGAACAGGTGAAGCTGACCAGGGCAAGGGAAATAATGTTAACAATATAATTAATGATAATGTCTATCATTGTAACTGTACAGAATACCCAGAGCTGGATATGACTCCCATCATATTGCCACTGGAGGGACGCTAAGGCGGTAGTTGTTAAAACAGACAAGGACACAGTATTACTATATTTCATTTGTGTTTTCGTCTTTAAATAATTCAAAATATCTTAAATATAGTTCCAATTATTCAAACAAAAACATTTTCTGTTTGTACAATAATCATTTCAGCACATTTTAATGTACAGCTCAGACAGTACTCTGATACTTGTGTTAAGTGATATGGCCCTATGAATGGACAGTCAAAACATGCAAACATATTGAGGTTCCACATGAAAGATATTTCTTTTACTGCAATATACAAAAGATAAACATTATTTCAAAAGGTTCACACAAGCTCCGGTAACATTTATTTTATGGGACACTGATGTGAGACTTAAGCACTGCGAAGGTTCAAACAATGGACAAAGGCACCATTGTACAGCAATGCACATTTTATCATAAACTAAAACTACTTAAATTTTTTTAATCAAAGTTTCTTTTTAAATCTCTGATTAGCTAACAATGGACGGCCATGAAAATAAGACTCAATGGCTCTAACAGATTGAATTATCATATTGATTTAAGAAGTTTAAAATAACACAACTGTATACAATTAACTGTTGTCTATAATGCACACCAAACCAGACCCCACTGAGTCGTTGTGAGGGTGGGGTTTTGTTTATGTCCACATGTAAAGATGGTACAATGGGCAAAACAAGCTGCAATGGTTTTGTTGTAACATTAAGAACCTCAAGCTTGGTTAAGGTACAGACGAAGAGCTGTCAAACTCCAGTGAAGCATGCTCCATCCCACCGTAGCCGTTCATCTTCTTTAGTTTTAGCTGGTCCACGTGGATCAGACCCTGCGTCAATGGAACTGCCTCTTTCTTGGTGAACATTTGGCTTATCTCCATGAAGGTCTTGTTCTTGGTCTCTGGTATCACCACGTAAACGTAGGCGGCCACAGACAGACATATGGTGCCGAATACCAAGTAGCTGTAAGACCCCGCAGACATCTAATGACGGACGGATGGAGAGATGACGTTAGAAAAATGCAATGGAGCATGTGATATATACAAAGTGAAATGAGTTAATTTGGACAAAACTATAGGGGACTCAAGATACAGCAAAGCTGAAGAAAGGGTCATTAACTCTTTTCTCAGGTCAATAAAGGCTGGACAGGCATGATGCCGCACAAGGTTCACCCTCAACTCATCAAATACCAACAAGACCGAAATGTTTGGAAAAAAGAGGAAGAGGGGCCTCTGCTGGCCCTGTTGTTGAAGCACATGCTATATGACTATGTTGTTGCAATGTCCCTGGTGCTCAGGGACAGGGAAAAATGGTGGACGCACGCTTCGAATGGTCTGACTGTTGATCTCTTTCGCAATCAAGAAGATAACATGGGAAACACACTCTTAGTGAGATGCAGGAATACATACAAAAGTGGGAAAAACACACGGTCATAACAAGGATTTAATTACTTAAACATAATAATACTGCAGCGCAATCTTTCACTAAATTAAACAAGAGAAGTACAACTAGCAGTTTGTGATATTGTTGAATCTTCCAAGCTGCTGCGTGATCCCTCAGAGAGTTTATGGGAAACATTACAGATGGGACACCCAGTTTCTAAATGGAGCTTTCAAAAACATATATTCTAAGATTGGAAGCAAACCAGTTTAGATCACATAACATTTTAGGTTATTGAAATGCTGGAGCATCGATATTAACATTTAGGGGCTGAATGGGTTAACCAGGGAAGCATATATAGTTCTCACCTGTAAAAAGGGAAAGACGAAGCCCACGGTGAAGTTAGACAGCCAGTTTAGAGATCCTCCGACAATGTAAGCAGCCGGCCGGTGGGATTGTTTAAACAGCTCTGCTGTGATCAGAAAGGGAACACCGGCTGGAACAGTAACAAAGCAAAACACATAGAAGCATCAATACGGATCACAAACATCGATTGACTGCTTATTAAAATATAATTTGTTAATTTAACTCAATATCTGACTTTTGGTCCCTTGCATGAGTGAAAACACTCTTAAAACTACATATCCCAAAATGCTGCATGATGTACTAGTTAATGTGCACACATTATGCAGGGTTCCTTGAATACATTTGCAATCTCAAATCCCAGAACCCCTTTTAATGTATTAGTATAAAACATGTAAAATAAGTTTTCTGATTAAATCACACACTATCCTTTGGAATTATTTATTTAATTTTGTAGATGAATTAGTTATTTGAATATCTTTGGATATCTCTATATTACTCTACTAATCCACAAAATATGCAGCAAAAATAAAAAAATCTGTAAAATCCTTTATAGCCTGAGAAGAAACTACTTTTGCCGATACACATTATAAAGGACACTGCAGATGAATCGGTTGAAAAATGTAACTAACAGACTGAACCATGGAACGTCTCCATTAAGGGGATATTTTTTCCAAAAAGTAATGTTTAAATACACAAATGAAGCACTGTCTAATGTTAACTTTTGCAGAATTAGGAGGTGGAGTAAAGTTCAAAATCAAGCTGTGGTGTCCTACCTTAAAAGCTGCATGTTGTCTTCATAAATGAGGTACCTTTCAGTTTTTTTGTTAAAAAAAATATATGTAAACATATAAAGATATAGACAATGTTGAAAAATATTTGTACTGAGGAGTGGCTGTGTCTGGAAAATATAAGTTATGTTCATTCATCATCTCTCGCACCAATAAGGCTCATGAAAGGCTAATTAGAGGACTGAACCAGCTGATAGGGTGAGAGTGTTTGGACTGGAGAGTCATATATCAAAAACTGCATATTACGTATGTTTAGTATTGTATTCTATCATTAAAACTGCACTATTAGTCTCTCTTACAGGAAGCCATAAAACATGGATTAGTACATAAGAATAACTGTGTAGGACGCTGTGGAACAACAGGAAACACTTTTCATGAATGTTGTCATTACCGATTTGACAAACCGTATGTTAAGACACTCGGTGTTCAAATTAGACAACCCGGTCACAAATTTTAGGGTGTGAACTCCATAGGGAGCAATTCAATAAAAGCAAAGCAACCTGCAGCTCTGCTTTGATTAAGAAAAAATAAATTCCGTCGTTCCCTCTGGTGGTATCTCGCCATGCATATTGTCTCCACACCAAGAACATGGAGGTACAATAATTGGAATAACTTACTTAAAGAAAATCTATTGTGAGCTGTAGCTGTGGGTCTCCCAAAGATATGATGAAGACAGCTAGAATGATAATGTCCATTCATTTGTTACTCTGATCAATTCATCACTTGAGTCTTTTATTTAAAAATAGTGTTCCTATGTGCTTGTCAACTGAAAACAGCGGACTGCAATATGCTGAACAGTGACTCCTTCACAGCTGAAAGATCAAACTAGCTTCATTAGAGTATACGGTTTCATTTTTGTTTCAGTTTGTACATCGGTTGTTTTTTTTGGAGGGGGGCGTGTAATATTTTATATGCACACACATTACCACTTCAAAACGAGTAATAGTCTCGTAGATTGTTTTGCTTTTATTTTATATCCACTATTGATGTTGCCATTTAAAAACACTCATTTGGCATTATCTTCCTGCAGAAGTACCGACACTGAACAATTTATTTTCCATTGTTCATCCTCTTTAGACTTTTGGGACTTGCATGTGAGCCTACGGCCCACCAGTATCGTGCCTCTTTTATTTAGACGGGCCAATTGGCACTTGGCACTTTTTCTCAAGAACATAAGAAAATAACTTTGACTTTTTTGTAGTGTACCAATATAAAAAACTGCTCTGTTGGTCGGACAAAAACAATTACATCTTACTTTACTTTTTTATGTTTAATGGTGTGTGTCACTCCATGGCAGGATATAAGTAGAGCACAACCATACAGGACGTTCCACTGTTGAAAGAAAGCATTTTAACATTATTATGTTATAGAACAACTTGCCTGGGCCGATACAGAAGCCGGCGATGATGCCAACGACGCAGGTGACACCAACGTAGCGCATGAACGGTATGTGAGCCTGCAGGGGAGAAGGAGCAGCAGGACATTGTAGTTATTTCCTATGATGGGGAAACCTGACTCCTCCCTTTCCCCCATCACCTCCTTTGCCTCCTGCTGCTGCACAATGCTCCCCCATGTAATGCTGATGTTCCACCTGAGCAAAGCAGGAATAAGGTGCCAAGTGAAACTGACGGAGTTGTTTCTCCCCACACTAATTCCCCTCCTAAACACCTGGGATGTGTTTCTCCTCTGCGCTCTACCTTCACTTTTGTCTCCTATTAGGATGTAACTTCGGCAACATGAGGAAGCAAAGGATGGTGATATTTTTTTTTAACCAGGGGTCTTTCTGTGCTCTCATCTCAGCCTTGGGCCCTCTAAATGAATGTTAAACTATGCTAAACAGACCGTAAGTACTACGTTGACATTAATCAATGCAGCAGATGACTACCTGCACACGTATCCTATCTAAAGGGGCTTCTTTTACTTCATGGCCAGCAGCATGAGGGCCTGATGTTCCAGTACAGAGTCCCCACTGTTGATCACTCGCTATAAAACTCTTAACTTTATCTGTGGAGCAGACACTTCTATAGACTCCTGGGACTTTGTATAAATGTGAGTGTTCTCTCAAGAATAAGAAAAATAAAATAATAAAAGAAAAGTTCTGTTTCACAATATTCTTAAATTCACATGTAGACTTTTAAACTCTCACAGGGAGAAAAACTAAATTGCACTGTAGTGCAGAGATTTGGGTCTTATAGGTAAACAAACACGTACCTGTAAAATGAGGGACACTGTGATTCCACCACAGCAAATTCCCATCATGGTAAAACCCCCGATCATCAGAGGCCTCCTGCCCAGTTTCTCTATCGAGAAACACTGCAGGAGGAGACATTGTGAATAGACTGTATAGATGCAGGTAGGTCATCTTGTCGATCGGAATTTTTTTTTGTGTAAAACTAAAATTAGGGTGAGGCAACCAAACCCCGTTTTTAGATCAACTGTCATGAACAGTTTGGTTTAGGCAACATGAGGTAGAAGGAATACCTCGACATTTGGGGGAACAAAATTAAATGTCTAACACCACTAAAGAATCACTGATGTTGTATCCTACTTACTAAAAGGTTTGTGGTTTTAGACTTTTGTGCTTTGGGATAAACGGCCGTCTGTGACACATTTACTGCCAGCTTTTGTAATGGAAATATGACATAACGGAAATATTAAGCTACAAAGGAGCTCTGTAGAAAAGACAGACTTTCTCTTTTGCATGACAGCTAACCACAAATAGCAGTAACCATCATTGCAACACCCTTGACTGGTCAGAAAAATCTGTGTTGAATTGAAATGCACATTGCCTATCTGTTTCTACCTGCTTCAGGTCTTTCTTCTAAATTAAGCTAAGCTAAGACCTAAGCTAAGATTGATTCCCATCTCGTTATCTTCTCTTGTCTCTTGGCATTTCTAATTAATAAGATTATTACCCCAACGAGTCCAGCAATGATCTCTATAATTCCTGTTCCTGCTGTGGTGTACGGGATCTCTGGTGCTGGGATACCCGCATCCTCAAAGATGTCGTTGGTATAGAACCAGATCTGTGGTAGAGAATAGGCCATTAAAAAGGTTGGCAAGTTAGTCCAATTAATGCTGCAATCAGAAAACTACATAATGTAAGTTGGTTAAAATATATGGAAAAATTGAAAGGGGCTTGAGGAATTTATAGAGAGATTTATAAGGGTGTGACCAATAACAAATATCTAGAATATGTCTCTGTCATTGCCGTTAAAAAAAAATAAGACAGGTGAGGTTGAATAACAAAACTACAGCTTCCTACGTTTAACACATGTTGGTCAAGTGGCCTCCCATCACTGTGTGCCACATCTTGCCTTCTTTGGCACTACCAATGGAAGCGCCAAATTGCTTGCCAACACTGAACAAAGCAGCTTTGAAATCAGTCCATCAGTACAGGAAGTTCTGTTTGATGGACTATTCTAAATGTTTATTTTTCTTGTGTTCTAGCAGCATAGGTTTGTGTGATGGGGCATATGCCACATAGAACGGAAACAACAAGCAGTCTTGCTTTCAATTTGTGGTTTGGTCAGCCGCAAAATAAGTGAACTTACTTTGGTATTTTGTTTAGAAACTGCACTAGTCCTGTGAACACGTCAAACAAACGTAGGACAAGAGTAGGCTCTGCATGTGACCAGCGGTAACCAACACCTGGTCCCTGACACGTGGTACTGAAACCCACCAAAGTCTTCCTGGAGAGACCCGCCCTGCTTAACTGCTTTATGCGGAGACGATCTCTAAAGGCTGGGTGTAGAACTCCAGCAGTTATTGTCGCAACTGGCCCCTTGGCAAGACTAAACCAGGTTATATACCGCTAAAAGCCCATAATGGTTCTGTTCAATGATGTTATGGTTGACGGCCGATGAGTATTGGGCGAAGGTCAAGTTTGACAATGGCAAAATGTGGTACGTGTAATCATATAAATATAAATAATATAAATAAAATATAAGTGAACTGTTGATTATAATCTTAAGAAATAAATCCAGATGGTTAAAGGAGCCATTTTGCATTTTCACAGCAAAAAAAATAGATATTAGAGTTGAATCATGAACTTTACAAAACCGTAAAGCGGATTATAATAATCACCAAAATTATTAGTTTGGTTTCAAGCCGTAAAAATATTAATCTTTAACAATGATTAAAATTGTTTGTTTTTATAAAGAACAACAACGCCTAATAAGAGTAAAGGAAATACATTCTTACAAACTAGAGCCATTGAAATGATTTATGGGATCTAGGCAAACATCTTTTATTCTGGAACAGGCACGCGCACAGATACCCTAGAGGTGCTCAAGCACCTGGGGCCTCATTTATAAAACCTTGCGTAGGATTTGCGCCAGAAGTGGCGTACGGATGAAACATAGGACGTGCGTACGCACAGAAATATTCAGACTTATTAAACCGTGCGCACGCACGTCCTACGCAGTTTTCCCTTAATAAATCACAATCACTTCTAAATGCAGCGCAGCTTTTGCGGCTTCATGTCACGCCCATAATTACCCATAGATAGTCTGTGGAACGCCCACAAATGAATATTCATCGATTGCGAAATCATGACACACTCAGAGGAAAACGAAGAAACGTAACTTCACTTCCACAGTGTGAAGTCGAAATGATCATTGGCGAGGTGGAAAGGAGAAGTCAAATGCTCTTTGGAGGGCACAGTGTGGGCATTACTAATGCCAAAAAGGCACTCGAGTGGCAAAAGGTTGCAGAGCAACGCTGCGGCCTCACAGCCTCGGACCCTGGCCGGAATAAAGAAAAAATGGTCTGACATCAAAGTGGATGCAAAAAAGCATTCAGCCCGCCATCGCCAAAGTGTGTCTGCCACGGGTGGGGAAAGGGGACACCGGAGCTGTCCCCTCTTGATGAGAGACTGGCGGCAATGACTGGGGATTGGGGACAGGGTCTGGGCCAACATCGGCGTCAGGGGGGTCGAGGCACGTTTGGAAGCTGTGCCACATTATGTAGCACAGCACATGCCAGCACGATATTGCACACCTTTTCAGGAGTAGACAATAACCTCCCTCCAGTGCAGTCGAGGCAGCGCCATCTGCCCTTAAACAGGCCGATGGTGCGCTGCACTACAGCGCGAATCCTTCCATGTGCCACATCTTCAAGAACGCAAGATCAGCCATTTCGCGTCATTACGCATTGTGATGGCATCATGGCATTTTATTACCGTCCATTTGATTGCATATGACAAGCAACAGCTGTGTTTTGAGGATGAATTGCATAACATGCCAATATTATTGCAGAACATATTTCACTTTTCTTTTTGAAAATGTGTTAATTTATATTTATGTTTGTTTTACGCTGCAGATCGATCAATCGGGTGTTCGTGTTATTTATGAGAGGCAGTATTGGCATTTCTTTTACAACAGTCTAGTTTTACACACGTTTTATCTCATAATTTCGACTTTCCATCCCCTTTCTGTAGTGCGGAAATGGGCTTCTATAGTTGTGTGTATCACTCCAGCCAATCCAAAGACAGGGTTTGTAACCAATCAGACATGGTATGGTTAGTCTCTGCTCGCGATCACAGGAGTTTTCTACTCGCGAGGGAGCAAATATCTCGCGCGAGATGAACTTTTGCTCGCGTAAGACAGAGATTTGCTCGCGAATGTTTGGTTTACGCGCGCGCATCAACCTGATTTGCACTCTCGAATTTTGACAGTGATTTGCCGCCATACCCTTGGCAGGCGGCGTGGCTGGAGAGCAGCCGAAGATTTAAGGCGTGGATGGCGAGGGGGGCGGCGGGAGCCCACGCACCTCACAGCATCGATCAGACCCTGAAAGCACCGTCGCCACCACCAACAGCAACACAACTTTCCTCATCCTCAGCGCTGCTGTCCGTATGTGCATGCCTCAGCAGTGCTTTGTTTCGGCAGGGCTAATTAGCAGCTGAAAATACAGCCTGGAGAAGGGGCGAGCTAATGAGTTCAGCTCCAGTTATTCCTGTGTACACTTTCTGGGCCTGGGCACCTTGGGAATCATTGTAATTATTAATTAATCTTTGGGGCCTAGTTCAGAAGGAGAATTTGGCTAATCATACAGGCAGAGAAATGATGACACAAGCTTTTGGCTTCAATCAGAAGACCACACAAGGCCTATAAAACAATGAGGGATCATTTAAGCTAGATCAATCAGTTGAGGGAGCGGTGGAAACATTGGGGAGTGGTCTCGGCCGATAAAAGGAAGGAAAAATGAAAAGTGAATCATTGGTAAGTAACATGTTAGGGAGATAAAGTCCAAAGAGAAAAGGCACCAGAATGTCCTAATACATCTGCATCCAGTTTCCCACACATAGACTAATTTGTGGCGGTGTGCCACTGATTCAACACCGGCCCCCACACATTGGGTTTGGCGTATTTTAAAAAAAAAAGTAACGCTATTTAAATCACGTAGCATATTCGTTCAGCTGCATTTCCTTTGCCTGCTCTCCCTCCCCTTGGTGCACAATGCATCTGTCTCACGTGTCTTTTTTTTGCAAGCCCCGCAAAATCCGTTGTTCTGACAGAAGTTGCAGACTTTGCGCATGTCGGCTGTAACAAACAGACACCATTTGGCAACCAACAGTTGATGCTAAACAAGCTGAGAGACGGAATATAGAAACGGAAGATGTTTGTTAATATTGTTTTGCAAACACTTGCTAAACCTTGGAACTGCTGTTTTTTAGGCAAATGCCAATGTATTATGTATGTATGTATTATGTTAGCAGAGATGGCGGAGTTCAATGTTAGCAAATTCACACGAGTAAGGTTGCTGCTAACAAAAAACATTTTATTTTGTATGTGTTTATAAAATCTGTAATTCGAGAAAAAGCTTCTAAAAGTTTCATAGCCGTTGTACTACCTGGTAGAATTTGGGATGAAATATACGGTTTTGGTGCGGAAAATCATTAATTTGTAGACTTAATGTGAACAAATTAAAAAAGTTGTCTGACTGTTATCTTCACGTTTTGCTTTGAACGAATCCTCCCCAGAAATTAAAATGGCTACTTGTGTGTGACTAAAGTATTTGCTCCATCGGCAAGCACTTTAGACGTCGTGAAAACGTATGATATAGTAGGCTTTTGGTTATCACAAAATATCACAAAATATATTGTTTACAGACAGCACAGCATGAGAACAACTTCTTCTTCTACTCAGTTTTTAAAAAGTCCTTACAGCATCGATGCCGGACAACTGCATGCCAATGTTGATGACCATCACACTGAGCACCTGCCACCGGACTGTGTCATCCTGGAACAGCTTCCACACCGACAGCGTCTCCACTGACGACAGGGAGCGCTGCTCCTCCTGCATCTCCTCAATCTCAGCCTGGATGTCACACTTGGCTCTGTACCACTTCAGGGCTGCGAGGAATTGGACAGGAAACAGCATGGACTGCATCAAGACATGAGTCATTGCAGCTACATCATCATCAAGTGCTGTTCTGTAGGTTGGGGAATTTGTGCACCTTTATTGTTGTACTGTAATGGAACACAGTTATATCTTTAAAAAATAAAACAAAATACCCATGTTAAGGTAAATACAATTTATAACTGCCACAGTGCCATGAAATTCTGGATGTCTCAAAAAACATAACTGAACATTTTCTTTGACCACTTAGGTAATATTACTGTAATTTGATTGGTTTGATTTGGTTATCTGTCCTTCTTAATGTGCAGCGTCGCCAGGACACTGACCTGTGATGGTGGCATGGACGTTGTGCTTCTCAATCAGCAGGTACCTTGGACTTTCTGGGAACCATGGCAACAACATCAACTGGATGAAGGTGGGCACCGCCACCACTGAAAGAAAGAGGGGCCAGTGTTCCTCCTGTAAGAGTCATACAACAGACTGAAACTCTTATCAGGTGTCAGCTATGAAAGGACAGCACAGGTGATGACATGACAAAATTGTATAACATTTTATTTAACAATGTCTGCCAGTCAGTGATTCAAAAGCCATATCATACATTAGATGTATTTATTGTCATGGGAAAAAACATAGTGAATGCTGGCCGTATTCATACAATATGTCATTTGTCAAGCAAAATAATATTGAAAAGCATTGACTGTCTACCTTTCCCAGAAGCTCATGTAGTCCCAGGATTTGGGCAGTGAAGACTCCGGTTCCAATAAAGATACTCGGCACAAGACCGAGGAAGCCTCGCAGGTTCTTTGGCGCTATCTCACCCAGGTACATCGGTACAACACTTAAAGAGATGCCTGCAGTGAAATAAATGCTCCATCTCAGGCACGTGCACAGACATTTTGAGGGGCAGGTGCTCAAACCAAACCAAAAAGGCATCCATTGTCAAATATATTCAGGAAATTGAAAATATGAATAATAAAATACAGAAATAAACAACACATTATGCTTCAAATTTTGTAAATGAGATAAATCAAGCTTGTGCATACTAATAAAGAGTGACTTACATAATTTCTAACATGAAAACACACACACTTCGTTTGTTTTACTTTTATTTATTGTTTGTCCATTTTTTAGGAAACGTCGGACCAGTTGGGACGTAATGTTTTCAGCAGCGCTAATGTTAATTTATCACCAAACAACGTCGGCAATTTGCCGTCATTACCAGTTTGTCTGCACAGCACAGCTCAGCACTCCACGAGCACGAGGAGGAGGGAGGGGGCGGGGCTACTGTGGCGGCAAATCACTGTCAAAATTCGAGAGCGCAAATCAGGTTGATGTGCGTAAATCAAACACCCATCCATCCATTTTCAAACCGCTTATCCTGCACGCAGGGTCGCAGGGGGGCTGGAGTCCATCCCAGCCAACTTCGGTCAATAGACTGGTCGCCAGCCACTCGCAGGACTAACACAGAGACATAAAACCATTCACACTCACATCCACACATATACGGGCAATTTTAGAGTCCCCAATTAACCTGATCAACCTTGTAAATCAAACATCCGCGAGCAAATGTCCGTCTCGCACGGGATATTTGCTAATCTCTGCTTGCGCTCGAAAGTGTTTTCTACGCGCTCACTGTTGTTCTTTTTGACAGTAAGGGGGCGGAGCCATGGTGTCTCTACATGGTAAATTATGGCTGTAGCTGGTTGTCATCTACGGTCCACTATGATTACAGAGGTGTCGTTTGTGTTTTGACAACGTTTTAGCTCATAATTTCGACTTTCTATCCCCTTTCTGTAGTGCGGAAATGGGCTTTTACAGTTCTGTGAATGCATAACTCCAGGGTATCCAAAGACGGGGTTTGTAACCAATTGGATGTAGATACCACGGTGACTGGCTCCGCCCCTTAAGCCCAGTTTATGCTTCTGCGTTTTCAGGAAGACGCAAGGACACGCAGACGCAAGAGCCCCTTGCTTGCCTTTTCACACCTCCTTGCGTGCTTGCGTGCATCGACCCATTTTTCTAGGCTTGCGACGGAAAATACGGGACAAATGTCCAGATGTCCGCGATGAAAAGCAATAGTGGCGATGCACAATAAAGTCTCTGATAAATAAATAAATAAACAAACCAACGACTTCCACACACAAAGACGTGACTCTCTAGGTCAGTGGTTCTCAACTGGTCTGGCTCCGGGACCCACCATCACCCCTTAATGACAAGCCGCGACCCAAATCGAGGAACATTCTCAACTTCTCAAATTGATTTAATGAAAATATGGTGCAGTTTGAACCTGAGATGGTATGGAGACAGAATACGTATGCCAACACAAAAACAAGTTTAATGAAAAAACAAAACAGCCAGCTGTTAATTCTAATTTTTCTTTTACCAGGCAAAGGCCCGCGAGTCGCGACCCACCAGTTGAGAATCACTGCTCTAGGTCGTCTTCGACAAAAAACGTTACTCCACCTATTGTTCTGGCGGTGAATTGCTCTGCAACACACGCAAGCCTTTTAGAACCATGAACAACAGTCAAAAAGCAGTGAGCGCGTAGAAAACACCTTCGAGAGCGAGCAGAGATTAGCCTCGCGAGCAAGGAAGTTCACGTTGAGTGAGCGAGGAAATATCTCGCGCGTGACGGACATTTTCTCCCACGAGACGGACATCTGCTCGCGGAAGTTAGATTTACGCGCGCACATCAACCTGATTTGCGCTCTCGAATTTTGACAGTGATTTGCCGCCATACTGGTACTTGAGCATGACTAGGGCTCTGTCTGTGCACGTGCCTGCTACATCTATTATCTGTCATAGCATAATTGTTGTATAACTGGGATTGTGAATACATGGTAGTTATTAACGTTAACAAAACATTTATTTTACATGCAGAACGCCCGGGCTTCATATGAATTCATGAAAATCTGCCCTCTATGAATGGAAACTGCGATCATTTGGATTCTGTTGAAGACACAACACACATCTCTAGTAGCCACAATTACCTGTCAATGAAAAGGTAGCCCCGCCCTAGTATAGAACAAACATGGTAGCTTTTAAGTTTCTCAGAGAACTGAACATAACTAGCAGATATGAATGAAACATTAATTGTAAAGCTAGTTGCCAATAGCTACCAGCTGAGTTTGTGCTATGCTCAGAGAAGCACCAGATACATCATGTCTCTGCAGTGTTGCTTCGCAATTATATGGATATGACTAAATCATACATACGTATACGTATACATACGTTTCCAATTACTTGTCCAATTAACTGATTAACTGAGAGTAGGATATTCATTGTGGCGTCCCCGATCGTTTTGTGGACTTCTGTTCTGAAGCCTTGAGTTCGGAGGTTTATCGCTCTCTTGTATTTAGCTTCGTCATAGTATTTGTTGTGCAACCAATGAACTGAAGGGACCATATTTGGACTTCGGAGGAGTGAAAACGGATACGGCTAGAGTAGGGACCCGTCAATCACAGTAAGGCCACCCTAAAGCATGCTCGGAAATTGACCATCACTTACGATTTCAAGCATACTCTTGGGGTAGTGTACATGGCCTAATGGATGCAGGTGTGTGTGTATGTTGTGTACCTGAGTGAATCCCTGTGATGAAGCGGCCGACGATGATCATTTCAGGTGACCCACAAATCCTGCTGAAGCCCATGAGTAAGCTGGCAATAAACACCAGCACTGTTGTGTTTACCACCGTGCCTTTCCTGAAGGTATGCAAACACACACACAGTAGGCAGACATTGTGAATATACATGAAAGCATATGACCCAGAGGTCAGTGAGGACATCAGTAATATGTGATTGATAGCATTAATCAATCCCTGTCCCTCTCGCCTGATGTACACACAGTCATAATGATGGACATGTATGCGTGTAAGTATCCCAATTTGCTGTAAAACGTTAACACAGCCCACACGGTTGGCAATAAACCGGGATTAACCATAAAACACTGCAGTATGATGAAACTGCTCGGCCTGTAAATGGGATTCTAAAATTCCTGATTTCCTTTGCATGTAAATGTCCATTCAAGTTCCATGAAACAGTGGAAATGGGTGGAGCTTGCAGGTGATTTGCATTGAAAAATAAGAGAACTTTCCTCTGCCCGTTAAGATCTGGCCCACTTCATAGGGGGGGCGAGGTGACACTGTGCACTCTGAAGAACAACGGGACACCAGGATAGGGGGGGACGGGGTTACCAGCAGCTTTGAACACAGAGGAGAGAGGTGTGATTGATAGAAGACCCGGTGCCTTTAGTGTTTGGTTCGCTCTGTCTCTGGGGGCCTTGTTTCCTAAACTTGTTATGTTATGTTGTTATGTGTTATGTCTTGCGGGCATGTTTCTCACTGTGACTGCGCTAATGGTGCATGTTCCGATGTTAGTTCTGCAGCACCAGATGCTGCTGAGTGTCTCTCAGGCTGGCATTGCCAATTGGTCACTATCCACCCCCATTGGTTGGATGGTCTACAGGAGGGTCATTGGGTGAGGTGTCAGGACAAGAGTAGAGCCAAGAACCAAATGCAGCTCTGAGGGCTTCTGAGGATAATTGTCCCCTGCTCGATATTGAAATCTATTTGTTTAGCCTTGTGTCCTAAAATTATGTTTCAGGCAGTCGTATGCATGGATTACGTTTGCTTTTGACATTTCACAAAGAAGTCAGCGTCGGAAGGAGTTCAGGGTGGTGGGTGCGGTGAAAAGAACTAACAATCATTTCACCCAGGATACTGCTGTTCATGTTCCATGTGAAACAAGTATCTTGATTGCTTTGGTGTTTCTTTACGTGGCAACAGTGGAGCATTTCTGTACCAGCGCTCAGAACTGCAAAATATTCACTTGTCAAGTTCACTTTTAAGACTTTGGAAGGCCAGGGATGGAGAAAGCTGCTGATGTCTCCGATCCTATAATTGTTTGCTTTGAATGCAGACCATGACCTTTGATTAGCAACTCTGTGTCTGTTAAAAACTAGCCTGACTAGTCAGATTTGAACTGGGCAATGCGACCCCTGGGTAACGCCTCACAATACCAGGGTCTGGTAACCCAGAATGCATTCAACCTTACCTCAATCTGGCTTCTCAAAATTTGAATGCAAATTACATCCAAGTGGCTTCATCAATTACAATTTGCTTCCATTTTTTGAGGAGCAAAAGGCGTGGAATATTCATGTTGCCTTATGAAAGTCCCCGCGTAGCTAATGGGGTTTTCTTGGGTGGCTAAAGATGTGGGCATTCTGTAAGCCTTCCAGCTAAGCAACTGGGTTTGTGCTGTAATGGTGAATTAAGTATAGCTAATTTTTGGAGGTTCTTTAGTAGATGAGGCGTTGTGCTAAAACTGAGAGAAGGAGATCGAAATACAAAACCAGCAAAAGTTTCTTATCTTGCTTGCTTTTTTGTGGTTGGAAATATAATTTTTTAAACTCCAACCTAATTCCCTCCCCCACTACAGCAGACAATAGAGAGAATGGAAACAACAAATGGAGAAAGAGAGGGGCGACATCTACAAACCTGTGTACACATCTGTTTCAATGCTGCTTATTTAGAGTACTTATTGCGAATGCTCTGGTAGATTAATATAGATAAATTGTGCTTTGTGATGACAGTTTAATTTAGTTTGGCCATAGCCAAGGAATTGTCTAATATGCTCAATTATAGTATGCATTCCTTGACTCTTTTTCTCTCCAACTGACATTTCGGGAACTTCCCCCGTCAGAAAGTCATGAGCACACACACACAATGAATTTCACAAACACATCCATATAATCTGGTCTCAAGTAGAATATTTCACTTGCATAGACCATGTGATGTAAAATTCATTCCGTGGTCCCCTGGGAAACACGGCTCAAGACCAAATGGACAAAGTTGATCTTTTTGGAATTAAGTACTCCACTGGTATCATGTGAAACAAGAAGGGCTCCTGTTTTTAAGAGAGAACTAATTCATCATATAAAAAAAAAGAAAACCAACCCTGACCAGTGTAGAACCGGAACTGGAATCCTCTTCTTACCTGCCGAAGCGAGTGACCAGGATGCCCACGATGACTGAACCGAGCAGACCTCCAATAGCGAAGACAGACACGGTGAGAGAGTACATGAGGGTCAGGGTCTCCTCGCTGAGTCCGGTTCCATTACGATTAACCACAGACTGGTTGTAAAAGTCCTTTATGTACTGAGAAGTCAAGGGATGGCAGGAGAAGGAGGTAGGGGAGGTCAGGAAAAGGGAAAGTGGTGTGAAAGGGAGCAGAAAAAACAAAAAATCCATGATCATTCAAGATCATGGATTCAAAAAGTGATAGAGGTTGGTGAATGGTTGAAAGAAAGAAATGGAACAGTCTCTGGTGTTAAAGTTACACATTTTGTCCCATCTGGCCCTCTTCTTAGTGGTTATATGATAAAATCATGCTGCTGGGGGGATAATTGGTGACTCTATTCTCCTTGTGGGTCTGTGGATGTGAGAGTTAAATCATGCAAAGACATAGTCTTTACAGTAATAAATCCCATGACAAGGAAAGTGAAGAACAATAATTTCAGTGGATTTTCTTACGACACAAATCAAAGAGGTCGGCCAATGTAGTTTAATTAACTCTGACGACACCAAACATCAATACACAATATTTATTTACAGAAATGACGTATGAAAAATGTTTAACACGAAATATTTCAAGTAATATACGTAGCTGTTGGTCAACACAAACAGGGCTTATGGAGACTTTTTTTTTTTTTTAGCGGAAGTGCACATTTGGAGCACCAAGTCTAAAGAAGGTACTCGCTTATATTTCAGACTGTGTCATCAACCTCACTATTGTTGACGATCATGCCCTAATAACATTTCCATGGAATAAAAAAACAGTCCACATGAATACACATTATGAACAAGAACATCACAAGAATACGTTGACCAGGTACATAGTTTTATGACTGGTTAGTTCATTCCCCACCTTCTACTGGTAAGGAGAACTAGGCACATGATCCTTACAAGAGGGTACTGTCAATTCTACTTATGAGCCAATTAGAAAGCATTCCTTCTTGATAGGACAAGAAACCATGTTTCATCATGTGTCCAAGATATTCTTATTTCACGAGGCCAGTACCAACACACTCTTTCTTTATCCCTCTCTTTTTTTTACTCACACATTTTATGCTCTAATCAAATCCAAGAGTATTTGTTTGACCTCATTCTCCTAATCAGTTTACCATGTGAAGGCACGAGATGGTGGACCAGCATAAATTCCCCCGACTGCAGACACTAGCCTGCAGCTAGAAGCTTTTATGCATGTGACTTTTTGATTAAAGCCTAATTCGAAAAAGGCATCCGGAGGACTTTTTTATTCCATTGTTCTATAGTACACTTAATAAATAAATAAAAAACACAAACAAATTCCATTACATGCTGGCTCATTTTATTAACTATGTCTGCATTCCAATCCACACTGTCATTCTATTTTGTATGTAAGGAAATATTCAGTAAGTTCCAATAGTACCTGGCAGTATTTGCAGTGTGTAGGCCTGCATGCTTATTCTGACTACAATCCTTTGTTTAACAGATATACTGTATGAGCAAGATGGTCAAAGTTCAAGGTGCTATGTTGTGACAAAGCAGAGTGTCCAAATTTAATAACAATAATAAAACAGTATGTACTTTGTAAGGGCAGTGCTGAAGTTAAAAGAAAGTATGCAATTTGGAAAGCTCAGGTTAATTTCAGCCCACTGAATTACTTTTTGTCGTACTTACATGTCATGGTAGCTCCAGTTCAAATGTGGATGAAGCTCTAGTCTAAGTTAATTGAATAGTTTACTTTTTTACACTGACGCTTGTATTGTTTTTTGCAAACAGCCAGCCATTCGTCTCAGACAACAACAAGCCATAGATGTATAAAGATATAGCATTAATCTCAACTCGGGTTTTTCACGCGAACAAACGGAGGGAAAAAAAGCTCTGGTTTTCGCTTTTGGTGCATTGAGGTTGTATTTACAATGGCAACCTGGCAAAAGCCTCTTGATGGAACAGAACAAGGGCTTGAAGTCAAATCCAAAGTTTAAAATACAGCACAACACATCCAAACATATCAAACACACCCATTACTATTACAATACTAGAAGACATACAGACTGTCACACTAGCAGTAACAGAAGGAAACCTAAGGGAATACACAAAACAAGCAAAATGGGTTTGTACTGTCAATTTAATTTACCGTGCAAAATGGACGTCCCTTTGCCAATTAAAGTCTATGGGATGAAGTATTTTGGGCCGCAGTGGCATCACATGGCCCTTGCCAGGATGCTTTAATTTCACGGTTAGTGACTGTTACATTTTCTTCAAGCCCAGCGCTCTTCCAAAGGCCTTCCATAAGACTGAAACAGAACTCCCACTTATCCCCATGCAATGACATGTAATCAGAAGAAGTTTCTCACCATTGAATGATTGGGTGTCTCGCAACAAAACATTTGGCATAATATAATGAATTAAAATAGTGTAGTGTGCCCATGGTACTTGTTGCATATCCCATATCCTGAGCTTCCTGTTACTATAGTTGGTACTTCATGTGGCTTTTATTTTAAAAGAACAGTGAGCAAAACATTGTTGGGTGCTAGAATTCAAAAAATAGGTTTTCAGCCTCTTTTGAAAATATTAGAAATCAACAACAGCAACCAATAAGACCAATAAGAGCATTGTTTTCTAAGCATTTATTCTTTGTTATTTAATAAATAATCATGTGAATTAGGGTTTGTGTGTGCATGTCTGAGTGAGAGTGCATCCTACCACAGCAGGCGAGTTGACCACAGCCAGGTTGTAGCCATAAAGCATGGAGCTCCCGAGGGAGGTGAGGAACGCCACCGCCAACAAGGAGCCGGTCAGTTGCTATAGACGGCAGAAAGGGAGAGGGAAGTTTAATGCAAACAGGGATGAGGGGAGGGCACGACAGCATTTATTCAGCTTTTGGCAACTAGCTTCACAATGATTGGCTCACACCTGCAAGTTATATTCAGTTCTCTGATGAGAAACTCTTAAGCTACATTACATCACATTACATTACCGGTCATTTACATTACACTTTAAACCCATGGCTTTTTTCACATATTGCCTGGGGAGCAATTAGGGGTTAGGTGTCTTGCTCAGGGACACTTCGACATGGAACATAGGGCAGCCTGGAATCGAACCACCTCTCTAACCCCTGCGCCACGACAAAGCTACCGTGTTTGTTCTTGAACCGGTTTTAGGAGAAAATGGCTGTTGTTCCCTCACAGTGAATTTGGAATGAGGCTAAAAAGTTTGCATTGTTCACATTCCTCTGCAGCCAAAACAAAGGGCATGTTCGTCTAATTATTCTGAGAGAGTGAAAGCCAGAAGCATTTCCCTCCCTCTGTGACATACTCACAAAGATAGAGGAAACAGTTTAAAATATTAGAACTTTGGGAAGAATATGTGAATAATGGCTGTAAATTTAATATAGGGCATGAAAAAGGCTGCTGTGAAAGTGACTAAAATAATCCGGAGAGAACTATAAGTGATAACATTCATCTGAAAGTTAGTTAGCAGGTAGTAAATCATATTATCCGCTGGCTCCGTGTGTCTAAAAGCATACGGATCAGTCAGCTGATTGCCCGGGCTCCGAATCTGATCCGATTCATGAAGGTGGTCGTAACTTACCGATGTGATTTTCCCAGACGATGGAATTAAAACCTCCTCGGCCATTTGGGAAGTCTGTACTGCGGTCCCTCGCGGTAAACAGCAGAAGGGTCTCTCTCTACACTGCAGAGGATCTCATGTCTCAAGGCTGACGGCAAGCGTGTTGCGTCACATCCTGTTGCCAGCGTGTTTGATGTCATCGAACTTTTCACAGCTCTAGCTATACTGAGTTGACTGTAGCGTGATTTTTTTCATCACAAACAGTGAATTTTTATCTATGTGAGGCGCTGTTAAACACCTCACCGTCTAGCAAATTTTCTCTCCATCGAATAGTTGCTAAGACGTTGTTTAGCGTCAACGTTACTTCTATTAGCGTTAGCATTAGCTTAGCAGCTAACCTGGTGATGTCTTCCCTCCCTACCTCTCCTGCTCTTTCTTGCTCGGTGTGTCACATGTTTAGCTATTCCTCTGCCTCCCTTACGGATAGTGGTACATGTAAGAAGTGTAGTATATTTGATAAATTGGAGGCGAGGCTTAGTGAGCTAGAATCACGGCTCCGCACCATGGAAGCTCAGTCGTTAGCCGCTGTAGTTACCCAGCCCACCCCCGTAGCCGGTGCGGGCCACATAGACGTAGCGTTCGCTCCTGCTAGCCGTCCCCCGGCAACCCCTGAGCAGCCGGGAGGCTGGGTGACTGTCCGGAGTAAGCATAAGTCTAAGTCGAAGCACACGGTTAACCACCAACCACTTCACGTTTCAAACCGCTTCTCCCCACTCGGCGACACACCCGCTGGGAAGCCAACTCTGGTGATAGGTAGCTCCATTCTGAGGAACGTGAAGTTAGCGAAACCAGGGACCATAGTTACGTGTATACCGGGGGCCAGAGCGGGCGACATTGAGTCGTATCTTTAACTGCTGGCTAAGGATAAACGTAAATACAGTAAGATTGTAATACACGTCGGCAGTAATGACTCCCGATTACGTTGCTCGGAGGTCACTAGAGTTAATGTGGAATCGGTGTGTACATACGCTAAAACAATGTCGGACACCGTAGTTTTTTCTGGCCCCCTCCCAAACTTGACAAGTGACGACATGTATAGCCGCATGTCGTCATTCCGCCGCTGGTTGTCGAGGTGGTGCCCAGTAAATAATGTGGGCTTCGTTGATTACTGGAAGACGTTTTGGGGAGAGCCTGGTCTGATTAGGACTTTGGACGGAGCTGAACTTCTTTCTAAGAACCTGACCCAGTTTCTTAGTGGACTTAATCCATGACCCAGAGTTCAGACCAGGGAGCAGAGCTATTTATGACTCCTGCCTTTTAATAAACTTTAAACCTAAGGTGAATTATAACTCATTTGAAAGCCTGATTTTCAGTCTTTCGCAACCGACCTGGAAAATAATCCAGCCGGTTCTCTTTGTAATAGTGTACAGGGCCCCAGGTCCTTATTCAGAATTTCTTTCTGAATTTTCAGTTCTTAACGAGTTTGGTCCTTAAAACGGACAAGGTAATTATTGTGGGTGACTTTAACATTCATGTGGATGTCCTTAACCCTAACGACAGCCTTAGTACTGCATTCCGTTCATTGTTAGATTCAATTGGTTTCTGTCAGTGTGTAAATAAACCAACTCACTGTTTTAACCACACTCTCGACTTGGTGCTTGTGTATGGGATTGGGATTGAACATTTAACAAATTTTCCACAGAACCCTCTCCTGTCGGACAATTGTCTGATAACCTTTGAATTTCTACTATCAGAACCACCTCCTCCTGCCAAGGGTTTCTACAGTCGACGCTTATCGGATACCGCTGTAGCCTTATTTAAAGAAGCCATTCCTTCTGCTCTAAGTTCAGTGCCCTGCCTCAAGATACAAGAAGACTCCTGTGAGAACCTCAGTCCGTGCCAGATCGATAATTTTGTCGATACTGCTACAGGCTCTTTGAGAGTGGCGCTGGACGCTATTGCTCCTCTGGAAAGAGGAATAGAAGCAAGAAGGAAGTCTGCTCCGTGGTATAACCCTCAAACACGGAACCTAAAGCAAACTGTGCGGAAACTTGAACGATTATGGTGTTCCACCAAATCAGAAGGATCTAGGCTAGTTTGGCAAGACAGCCTTAAAACGTATAAGAAGGCTCTCCATAACGCAAGAGCATCTTATTACTCCTCATTAATAGAGAAAAATAAAAATAACTCCAGGTTTCTCTTCAGCACTGTAGCCCGACTGACAGAGTCACAGCTCTGTCGAGCCGTGTATTCCTTTGGACCTCACTAGTAACGACTTCATGAACTTCTTCAATGATAAGATTCTGACTATCAAAGAGAAAATTGATGGTCTCCTGCCTTCAACCAGTGCCGACCTGTCCTCTGATGTAGGAACCTTGGATGCAGCAGTGGGCCCTGATGCCTGTTTGGATGCCTTCTCTTCCATCAACCTTGATCAACTGACTTCTTTATTTTCAAAGTCTAAATCTTCTACTTGTCTCTTGGATCCGATTCCGACCAAGCTGCTTAAGGAAGTTTTTCCTTTAGTTAGCACATCCTTATTAGATATTATGAATCTGTCTTTGTTGACAGGACATGTACCACAGTCCTTCAAGGTAGCTGTAATTAAACCTCTTCTTAAGAAACCTACTCTTGCTCCAGAGGCGTTGGCTAACTACAGACCTATCTCTAATCTTCCCTTCCTCTCTAAGATCCTTGAGAAATCCGTCGCAAATCAATTATGTGACTTTCTACAAAACAATGCTTTGTTCGAGGATTTCCAGTCAGGATTTCGAGCGCATCACAGTACAGAAACAGCACTGGTGAAAATTACAAATGATCTTCTACTTGCATCGGACCAAGGACTCATCTCTTTTCCTGGACCTCAGTGCCGCATTTGATACCGTAGACCATTGTATCCTGTTGCAGAGACTAGAACATTTAATTGGTATCAAAGGAACTGCACTCAGCTGGTTTAAATCCTACTTATCGGATCGATCCCAGTTTGTGCTTGTAAACGGTGAATCCTCAAAGACCACCAATGTTGGTCACGGAGTCCCACAAGGTTCTGTACTTGGACCGATTTTATTTACCCTCTATATGCTTCCTTTGGGCGATCTTATCAGGAAACACCGCATAAACTTCCATTGTTATGCAGACGACACTCAACTGTATCTGTCGATCAAGCCAGAAGAGACGGACCAGCTAGTTACACTTCAAGAATGTCTTGGAGACATCAAAACTTGGATGACCGGCAACTTCCTCATGCTGAACTCAGAAAAAACGGACGTTATCCTGATAGGCCCAGAGCGCCTTCGAAGCCAGCTGTCACGTGATACAGTTTTTATGGATGGAATTGCTCTGGTACCCAGCAGCACCGTCAGGAATCTGGGAGTTCTCTTCTACCAGGATATGACCTTCAACTCGCATATAAAGAAGACTTCAAGGACTGCCTATTTTCATCTACGTATTATATAAAAAATCAGGAACTTCCTGTCTCAAAGTGATGCAGAAAAATTAGTTCATGCGTTTGTCACTTCCAGACTGGACTACTGTAATTCTTTGTTATCAGGCTGCTCTTGTAAATCTCTTAAGCCTCTCCAGTTGATTCAGAATGCTGCAGCACGTGTATTAACAAGAACTAAGAAAAGGGATCATATCACTCCTGTATTAACTTCTCTGCACTGGCTCCGTGTTAAATCAAGAATAGATTTTAAGGTACTTCTCCTCACCTACAAGGCACTTGCTGGCGAGGCACCGTTGTATCTTCAAGAGCTTGTAACACCTTATTGCCCTACAAGGCAGCTGCGCTCCATAGATGCTGGGTTACTTGTTGTTCCTATGGTTTTAAAAAGTAGGCTGGGGGCCAGAGCCTTCAGTTATCAAGCTCCTCTTTTGTGGAACCAGGTTCCACTTTCAGTCCGGGGGGCAGATTTGGTCAGCTCTTTTAAAGTAAAACTTAAAGCTTTCCTCTTTGATTCTGCCTATAGTTAGGGCTGGCTCAGGTTAGCCAGGACCAGCCCTTAGCTAAGCTGCTATAGGCTTAGAATGCCGGGGGAATTCTTAGGACACACCGAGCTCCTCTCTCACGCTCTCGTTCTACCATAATTCAAGTTTTATTAATGCACATGACTAATTCAGCTTCTTTCCGGGAGTTTTTTTGTGCTTTCTCCCCTATCAGGTGTCCGTAGATCGTGGTTCCTTCGGGACCCTGGTCCTGACACCTACCGTGGCCATGCTGATGCCATCATCATCATCATCATCATCATCATTATTATTATTATTATTATTATTATTATTATTATTATTATTATTATTATTATTATTATTATTATTATTATTTTAGATATTAATCATATTACTGTACTCGTAAACCAACATTACCCTCTCCTAAAATCTCTGTGCTCTCCCTCCCCACAGGCTTCTGTGGATGGTGGTTCTATCTGATGGTGATTGCCTCTGCAGTGGTCCTGCTGTGCGCCTGGCTTACTACTCACAATTACTTGAATCATTTCTGTCATAGGAATTGCATGTATTATACATTGTTCATTCTGTACACATGGCATCCATTGTAGTCTGTCCATCCCGGGAGTGGGATCCCTCCTCTGACGTTCTCCCTAAGGTTTCTTCCCTTTTTTCCCTCTTGGAAGGTTTTTTTCATTTTTTGGGGAGTTTTTCCTGTGCCGATGGTGGGTTTCGGGACAGAGGATGTTGTATGTGTACAGACTGTAAAGCCCTCTGAGGAAAATTTGTAATTTGCGATTATGGGCTATACAAAATAAAATGAATTGAAATTGAATTGAATGCCAGTAGCGAGCCTGGTCACGCAGGGTCCACTGGAGTGCAAGTGGAAGCCAGTGGCAGTCTACTTGCTGTGTGCCAGGCTTCTCCTCCGCCCGGCAGCAATCCAAGGGCCACGATAACAAGACTACACAGTGTCATCACATGACGGAGGCCAGCGTGACAGACCCTACTGCTGGAAGCAATTAACTCTAAGTGAATTCACAAAGAAAGAGAGAGGAGAGGAAAAGAGATGGGAGGAAAGGGCAGGGAGGCAAGGGGGACAGGCGGTGAGGGGGGCTGGGGGATAAAGTGGAGTGGAGAGGAGTGGAGAGGGAGGAGAAGGGAGCACAGAAGAAATGAGGGAGGGGGGGATTAGGAGAAGAGAGGAGGACAGCAGAGGAAAGGAACGAAGATGTGGAGAGGATGGAAAAAAAATAAGAAGGAGATTAACTTAGAAAAGAGGGGGGGAAAGAGAAGAAACACAGGTGCAGATGATGGTAGGATGGGACAGGATGAAGAAAACAAAAGGTGAGAATAAAAAAGAGGAAAGGCAAATGAGCCCAAAATAAAGAAATTGGATGAAAAGGAAATAAGAGCAGTGGAAATGGGAAACCGTTTAAAAAAAAATATATTATTCATGAATGAATAGAACGAAATTCTATAAAAAAAAAAAGCCCCAAAACACAC